CTGGAATACGCAGACGTTGGAGCACTTGCACAGGGAACTGAACCGCTGGCTAGAAGGAGACGTTGGTCCAGGAGAAAAGATTAGGAAAATCGAGAGGCTGGTCGAGGAGACCTGGAGAAACGGAGTTACTCGTGAATGGAGAAAAGTGGAAAATGATGCCGGTGTCCTTGTGATGATGTTGACACCCAAGAAGATAAAGTTGATGGTTGTGGTATCATAGACGTTTTGGTGCAGTGTTCTGTTTTAAGTCTTTACGTTGTTGTTATGTTTGTTTAATTTATGTTGCCTTCGCGCAGTGTTCTGTTGTCATGTTGTTGTTGTGTCAGTTAACTATGATTTTAATTGATTGAAACCTGGTATTATTCGAATGAAATTTGCTATTAATCTTGTAAAAGTTGCTATTAATTGAATGGAATTTGATATTGATTTAGCGGGACAAAATTAAATATGAAACTATGACCTGCTGCTTGATCCTACGTTAGGACATTTTGTTCGATTGTGTCCCAGTTGCCGACACGAACTACACAATCTCACCAGCTTGTCTGCGGTATCCATCTCAGTTCGAATGCGCATGCTGTTAGGCCGACCCTTTTTCTTTCTACGCATCAAGTCATTATGCCAAACAATTCTCCTTCGTATTGAGGCCAATAGTCTTCCTTTGCCACCACTTAAAAGTTGCATGTGTAGACATTGCATAGACTAATGACTTGGTGAACTGCAGAAAGAAGGTTGGTTGGGTCCTGGCGCAACTTGGAACATGCTGCTATGACATGAGAGCACGACATTCGAAATGCTTGAAACTTTCCACAATCACACCAGCTCTTATCCAATTTAACACGGTAACATCCCCTAGGCCTTCCTTCGTTGTGATCCATAGACTCGGCAACACTGAACCGACCAGTTGTACGGTCAAAGATTGTGACCACGTGTGTGTTGGCTTTGGCAGCTTCCTCTTTCATGAATTTCATTGAAGTATTGTTATACATCTGACCCAATTGTAATACCGAACCCCACTTCGTACGTCTGCTATCAAAGAGTGATCCTAGCCTAAAATAGGTTGCCTTTACCAAGGCAGTTATTGGGAGATTTTGGATTCCCTTAAAAACAAAATTCATTGACTCGACGAGGTTAGTTGTCATGTGGCCCCACCGCACCTCATTATCGTATGCCTGCGTCCATTTCTCCCTATCAATATTATCAATCCATTTTAATGCGTCTGTGTTGTTCAGTCTGATCTCGTCCCGATAGTATCTGAAAGTGGGTTCAGTTAGTGCATATCCCGCGTTCACAACCTTCTTTCGCAGCATCTTGTCCTTGATTTCCCGCAAGAAATTTTGGGCAATATGCCTTATGCAATAGACGTGGGTCGAGGGAGGATCCTGCCAACCGTTGTCATGGTTATTGTATGCACTCTCGATGGATGGGTGTCGATTGGAGATCAAACATAAGTTAGGTTGTGGGGACACGTAAGAGCGGAGGTTTTTTAAGAAAAAACTCCAACCCCCAGCAGTCTCCCCTTCTACTATGGCGAAGGCTATTGGAAAAATGTTGTTGTTCCCATCCTGTGCCACCGCCATGAGAAGTGTGCCCTTATATTTCCCGTATAACCATGTTCCGTCAATTTGAATTATAGGTTTACAAAATGCAAACCCTTTGATGCATGGTTCGAACGTCCAAAAGACTCTGTGGAAAATTCCATTTCCACCAACACAAGTCCCGTATGGTGTACAAGCAAGCATCGTCTCCAATATCGCAACAGTTCCTGGAGAGTAGTGTTTAAGAGCCACCAGGAATTTAGGAAGTTCCTTGTACGACTCCTCCCAATTTCCAAACACCCTTTCAACCGCTTTAGTCCTGGCAATCCAGGATTTTCGGTACGAAGGAGTGTAGTTGTACCTTTGTACCATATGTGTAATTATGGTACTCACCTTCAAAGACGGGTTGTCGCTAGCAAGTGACAGAATCTCATCGCAAATCAATTTAGAGCTGAGTTTGCGATGGTCTTGCATCGGATTCGAGATTATACAACTGTGGGATGGACCCATTGACCCTATCTTCCAAGAATCGCTTCTCTTCCTGAAAGATGTTGTTAATCGGAACGGGCACTCCTCGTTACGACAATAGATCGTATATCGCATCGGATTTGTCCGATCGACTCTGTAGTCGGATGACAACTCCATGTGAAACTGTTTGATAGCCCGGACACAATCTTCTTTCGTACGAAACTCGTCACCCTCTTTTAGTTGCCCCTCCGTTGTGTAGTTGGGGTTGTAGAAAACATCCCTCGAGGGTTCATCCTCACCTAAGGCGATAGTAGTCATGTGTTGAGGTGGACAATAGACATTGTCAGGTTGAACTTCATCCTCCAGATTGTTCACCATCTCGTCAATAGTGACTTCATTTGCTTCTTCTTCTGCGTCAACGACATTGACTTCAGGGTGTTCATCTTCGTCATCGCAAAAAACTTGAGACGAATCAAGTTGATGAGACAGTTGTTGTTGTTGTAACGTAACATATAACACGATATCTGAGAACCCAGAATACTCGTGACTGCGGAACATGTTACGCACATCTTCATCGTCTCGCACCTTTAAAGGGAAAAATTTGCATGAATCAGGTCCGCCAAAAAATACTGGGTTTTTGTATATTCTTTGCCCAACTGGACCACATTGCAGTTTTTTTTCTATTCTTGCCTTCAGGTGTAAAAAATTAGACCTTCTGTCAATTAAAAATTTTGTAACATCCGTGTTTCTGAAATATTATCCCGACACTTCACATTCGAAAACTTCATCGTTCAGATGAGCGGAAATCATATATTGTAGTGTTTGAGACATAGCGAAAATTGTGGTGTTTGAGTGTTTGAGTGTTAGAATGCTTGAGTGTTTGAGTGTTTGAGTGTTTGCGTTTTTCAGGGTCTGAGTGTTTGAGTGTTTGAATGCTTGAGTGTCTGAGTGTTTGAGTGTTTAAGTGTTTGCGTGTTTGAGGGGCTGAGTGTTTAATGTGTTTGATTGTTTGAGTTTAAAGGCTTTATAAAATGGGTTGAGTGTTTGATTGTTTAAAGAGTTTAAATATTTTTTTACATGTCTCAGTAAATGAATTTGTAATTTTCACATGTGACCCTGCGAATCAATGACCATGCATGCAGGACACTTGTCACGCATGCTCCACAATCAATGACATGCATCAGGACTTAAACATGACACTTGATAAGACGTGACAATGCAAAGTTCTGCTTTCACATGTGATACCGCATCATGAATCTCTGCTTTTCACTTGTCACGCATGCTCCACAATCAATGACATGCATCAGGACTTGAACAGGACACTTGATAAGACTTGACAATGCAAAGTTCTGCTTTCACATGTGATACCGCATCAGGAATCTCTGTCTTTCACTTGTCACGCATGCTTCACAATCAATGACACACATCAGGAATCAATGACATGCATCAGGACACTAGTCATGCATGCGTTTGCAACCATCAGAATCTATCATCCATAAAAAAAATAATGTCTTTAATTAAGAAAAAAACATAATATGAAAAAATCACACTACGTTTAATAAAAAAAATCACCCCTAAAAAATCAACGACGGAAACATGTGAAACACAAAGCCTAGATACGCAATCAATGACATGCAGCCTGTTTGATTAGACTAGACAATGAAGGAATCTCGCTTTCACATGTGATCCTGCATGCCTACATTGACCATGCAGGCCTACGAGACTCTATTTCTGCATGCATCAGGACTTGATAAGACGTGACACTGCATCCACCATGCTTGATTAGACGAGACACTACATAAAAAAGACTCAGCATCCAACATGCATTTACACATCACATGCATCATGACACTAGTCCAACATGCATTTACACAACACATCCTTCACGACACTAGTCCAACATGCATTTACACAACACATGCTTCAAGCCACTCGTGGAATATAAATATAGGGTCTTTACCCATCAAATTATACTCACACTTAAACTCTCCTACTCTCCTACTCTCCTACTCTCAACCCTCAGCTCTCAACTCTCAAATTCTCAACTCTCAACCTCTCAAACTCTCAACTCTTAACCTCTCAAACTCTCAAAATCACAAAGTCTCAATTCTCAAACTCTCAACTCTCAAACTCTAAAATCTCAAACACAACATCCCAAACGACAATGTCTCTACTCACCATGGGTGACTCTCACAGAGGGACGACTGAAAACATCGCTGAGTTTGTAAGTCTTTTGTTTTTGTCTATGTTTACAATTTTATCTAAATAAACCGTTAGTAATTTTACTTCTTCTCTAAAGTAACTTTCATTATTCTGCAGGATGTATCAAGGTTTCGATGTCGTGTGCATGATTACATACCACACGACCCGCTCATTACGGATTACCTTACTCATTGTGGGTTTGGTGATTTGATCGAAATCAAATCTTACTCCCTCGACATGAAATTTATTCTAGCGTTGTTAGAACGCTGGAGACCAGAGACACATACATTTCACCTACCTTTTGGTGAGTGTACTGTGACTCTTCAGGACGTTTACATGTTGCTCGGCCTACACATCGATGGTAAGGCCGTCAACGGCAAAGTTGGTGTCCCTGACCAACTTTGCGAAGATTTCTTAGGCGCCCCTCTTTGTACGGACGGACCTCAGGCGGAAAGCGAGGGCCGCCCGAGGGGTCAGAGAATTAATTTAAAATACCTTAGAGAACAATACAACCGTATTGTCTTAACTGATGATAGCACCGAGTTTGAGAAAATACTCAAAACTCGATGCTATATTATGATTTTATTCGGACATTTTTTATTTCCAGATGGCACTGGGAATACCGTCCATACTATGTATTTACCATTATTGCGGAATATTAACGAAGTTTGCGAATATAGCTGGGGATCAGTTGTCCTTGCCCATCTATATAGCGCCCTTTGTAAAACTTCAAAAAAAAATTCATGTACTTTTTATGGTTGTGCTTATCTTCTGCAAGCGTGGGGTTGGTCTAGGATGCCAATGCTTGCTCCAATAAACAAAAATTCTTTTACGTTCCCGTACGCCAACAAGTAAGTATCTTTTCAAGATTATTTAGCAACTACATATTCTTTTTCAGTTAATAATTTCTGAGATGTGTTTATTTTGTTAGGTGGTCTGTTCCAGGGATGAATTATCAGAGATGTCCAAGGCACTCTATAATTCAATACCGCAACCTAATTGACCACCTTGGGCCAGATGATGTAAGTTATTTACCATTAATTTTTTTGATGTATCTGCATAAATCTTTCAAACTCTGTCTAACTTAATTGTCCAACTTTATTGTAGTTTGTCTGGATGCCGTACAAAGGTCTCGACCACGAGCCCAACCCTGATGATACCGCTGTGTGGACATCAAAGACACCCATAATTTGGTTCACTACGGTGGAGATGCACCAAAGTGACCGGGTGAAACTACAATTTGGGATGCATCAGGATATTCCAGATGCTCCAGTAGACTTGGGACAGTGGCATCAAAAGCGGGTAGATGCACAGTGGAGTTTGAGTGATTGGAAGGAGTTTGCGAAGGACTTGCGTATACACCGGAAAAGAAGAAGGCAAATTTTAGAAATTTTTTTGAATTCTTGATTATTGTGATAAATAATATTTAATATATGGCTATATTAAAAAAAATTCAGAATATTCAGCTTAAATAAATAAAAATATGAAAATTAACCAAACATAACAATAAAAGGAATTTGCAAAAAAAAAACATGAAAACATACTCACGTGTACCTTTGTGGAAGTGCAATACCCTTTTGATCTTTGTGTGGGAGCGCAATACCCTTTATGAACAACAACAACAACTCAAAAAAAAAAAACTATCCTTCTTGTTCGTACAGTGCAACAAAGACAATAATTGATCTAGGCATCACTTCTTTTGTGAGAGGAAGTTGATATTGATGTATTAAGGATGAAGATGAAAGTGTTTATCGTGGCTGTTTGAGGGAGAGGAGATCTATGGCTTTTTCTGAAGTGATTCGCGGCGGGTTTTGAATCGGTGTGAATGGTTTGCACGGTTGTGATAAAGGTGGTATTAAGAAGGTTAGTAGGAGAAGAAGGTTGTTATGAATGTGTTATTCTCATGTTCATGGTGGTTTATATGAGAAAAATGGTGAGAGAGATGTGTTTATGTTTCACAGTGGCAGAGGATTCATGAGAAAAAGGGTGATGGTCACGTAAGCATGATGTTAAGGCTTTGTATGAAAAATGAGGGTGCTATCGTGTGTTGTTTTTTAGGAGAGGGAAAGTATGGCTTGAGTGAGGTTTAATGAAGAAGATAGGGTGATGTACGAGAAGAGATGATGAACAGTAGTATATTGTTCTTTATTTTTCCTTTTTGAACCAACGAAGATGATGGTCTCCAAGTGAGGTTATGAGCTGAATATGATGAGAATGTAAAATATTTTTGTGAAAAGTAGCATGGTGATGAAGAAAGAGAGTGATGAGAGGGTGATGGGTTTTCACGTAGGAAGAGGAAAATGGGAGTATGAAGTGCAGTGGATGGTTGGGTTTTAGAGAAAAAAGCATGGAGCATTCAAAATAAAAGGTGATGTGGAAGTATTCAAGTTAAGAGAAGAGGGTGAGTCGTTCACATGGGGCAACAAGGTTTTTTCGTGTAGTTTACATGTGCATGAGGTATGAGGTATGGAAACAAGTTGTTTTATACAGGTTTTTTTTGTAGTTTTTTTTTTGTATGAGAATGGTAGAATGAAGATGTGAGAAGGTGATGGATTGGAGAGGAAATGGAAATTCACATGTTTATGAGATATGGAGTAATTTTAATGTGAGAGGGGTAAAGTGAGGTGGGTAGTAGAGTGGTTTTTCTTTCAAATATGCAAGTGAGAGATATGATGGGAAAGTGTGTTCTGAAAATATGCAGGTTTTCAGTTTAGCTCTTTGTTACAGGTTTTGTGGGTCTTGTGTATGGGGGTGATATCAGTTGTGAGTGTTCGGACTATTTAGTTTATGTGCATTGGAGAGAGTTTGTATGGGAGGAAGGTATGTGTTATGAAGTGAGAGTGGAACGGTGGAAGTAAAAAAAAGGTGATGAAGAAGCAATTCTTTTCAGTTTTTTTAGATAAAAAGAAGAAGATGGTTTTGGGTTCGTGTCTACAGTCTCTTTTGTATATGCCTTCACCTTATTAAGTGTGTCTCTTTGCATGCTGAGTATAGTATTATGGAGAGAAAAAAAGTGTGGGGCACCTGTTTTCAAAATGTGTGACGTCCTATTGTATTGTTTTTTTTTAATTCAAATGAAAAAGTCAAGATGCTTGCTATCTGTGCAAGTGTTGTGCTATACTAATTAGGTTACCCAAATGAAACTACAAACTAAAACAACTTTTTTTTAAACTTATTTATGAAGTATTACTTAAAATAGGTAAGAAACAAAATTTTACATATAAAAATAAAAATAATAAATAAAATAAAAATATTTAGAATAAACTAAATTAAAAATCTGATTAATTAAAATGATTAATAAAAAAATCAGTTAAAAAATGAAAAATCGGACTGATATTGAAGTGTTCGAAAAATAAAATGAACACACTAAAATGATCAGCGCGATATAAATGACTTGGAAAAATACAGCGTTTGGTCAAATTTCGAAATAAATTTTCCCCAGTTAAATGGCTTAAACTGTTCAAAAATGCGACCGAAAAGCAGTTGAAAAATTAAAATGAGCACCCCAGGTTAAACAATACGGAACATAGATTAATATGACTGACGCTTGGAAGCTTGATTTTAAAACTTTTCATCCACTTATTTTACGCACAGTTGACTTTTATTTTGACCAATTCGACTGTAAATCCATTAATTTTATTATGGCTGATAAATTGAGTATTATGCATGATGAAATACATGATATAGGCTATCTAGATGATGCAAAAAGAAGCGAGATCTTAAGGACAAAAATTAGGGTATGACAGAACATGTTTAGGTTGATCAACATTTGTACTGTGGCTATGAATGCTTGGGAAATTCTCAAGACAACTCATGAAAGCACATCTAATGTAAAGATGTCTAGACTTCAACTACTCACTACAAAATTTGAAAATCTTAAGATGAGGGAAGATGAAAGTATCCATGACTTTCACATTAATGTTCTTGAAATAGTCGATGCCTTCAGTGCCTTAGGAGAAAAAGATATCAAAAGAAAAGCAGGTTAGGAAGATTCTTAGGTCTCTCTATAAGAAATTTGACATGAAGGTCATAACCATTGAAGAAGCCCAAAAAATCAGCAGTATGGGAGTTGATGAGCTTGTGGAGTCCCTTCAAACCTTTGAATTGACCATTAATGACAGAACTGAAAAGAAGAACAAAAGCATTGCTTTTGTTTCCAACTCAGAAGATGAAGAGGAAGAAAGTGAACTTGATACGAATGAAATGATGTCCAATGCCATTGTTTTAATAGGAAGACAGTTCAATCAAGTGATAAAGAGAATGGAGAGGAATTCAAGACCTAATATCCAAAACATCAGTTCTGACTTCAAAAGGAACTATGACTCTCAAAGAAGAGCAAGAACTGAAGAAATGACCAATCAAAATATAGGGGTTTTATGTCATGAATGTGAAGGGTTTTAACACATTAAAGAAAAATGTCCCACTTATCTGAAGAAACAACCTAAGGGGTTGGCTACCTTGTGGCCTGAAGAGGAAAGTGAAAGTGATAATGAAACAACAAAACGTGTAACTTCTTTAACTGGAAGATGGGCATTTGATGTAGAGTCTTGTGATAAAGATACTCCTTATGCTGAACTAGTTGTTTCCTATAAATATCTTTGCATCAAAAGTGAAAAACAATAGGAAACTATCTCTCATTTTCAGTGTGAGAAGGAAGAGCATTTGTCCAACATCTATACTCTGCAGGATGAGGTGACCATGCTGACCTCCAAACTTGAAAGTGTGGCTAAGTCTATAAGGATGTTGAATAATGGTTCTAACATATTAGACAAAATTCTTCAAGTTGGAAAAAGGGTTTGTGACTTAAAAGGCATAGGGTTTAATAATAAAACCCTGAAAGGAGACCCTAAGGCTACAAAACTCATTCCAACTAGGAGAGTGAAAGAGCCAAGGATGTCAGAACAATTGTCTCAACATCAAGACATGTATCAGTTTGGTAAAAAGGGAAGCAAGGCCCAATAGTGGAGATGTCATTATTGTGGTAGATTTAGCCATATAAAACCTTTATGTTCCAAGCTGTATGGATATCTTAGGTCTTGTGTTCAGCCCAAGGTTAATCATAAAGCGATCAAGAATACAAAGAAGTGGGTTCCTAAATAAACTATCAAATTACTTATTTCTCATACTTCTCTCAGAGCTTCTTTCAGAGAAGACTGGTACTTTGATAGTGGGTGTTCTAGACACATGGATGGTATAGATAACTTCCTGGTCAACATTAGGTTACACTCTACTAGTTATGTCACTTTTGGGGATGGTGCAAAAGGAGAAATTCAAGGAGTTGGGAAACTAGCTTGTGCAAGATCTTCTAGTCTTGAGAATATGCTTCTTGTAAAAGGATTGATTGCCAACTTGATAAACGTAAGTCCATTGTATGATCAAGGGTTGAAAGTCTACTTCATTAAGTATAAATGTGTGCTCAATAATTAGAACGGTGAAGTTCTGATGAGGGGAGTCAAATCTAAAGACAATTGTTACTTGTGGACACCCCATTTAACAAAGAGTTCTCCTACATGCCTATTGTCTAAAGAAGATGAAATTCAATTATGGCACCAAAAAATTGGTCATTTACATCTAAAAGGGATGAAGATGGTTGTATCTTCAAAAGCTATTAGAGGAATTCCCAAGCTCATAATAGAGGAAGAAAAAATTTGTGGTGAGTGCCAAATTGGAAAACAAACCAAGATGTCCCATCCCAAGGTTCAACATCTGACTACTTCAAGAGTCTTGGTACTTCTTCACATGGATTTAATAGGTCCCATGCAAGTTGAGATAAATAATAAGACTCCTTAAGAATCTGCTAGGGTCATCCTCCATGCTAAGCACCTGTCATTTCATTTTTGGGCTGAAGCAATTAACACTGCATGTTATATTCATAATAGAGTTACCTTGAGAACTAGTACTTCAACTAATCTTTATGAATTATGGAAGGGAAGAAAACCTATTGTCAAGCACTTCCATGTATTTGGAAGTAAATATTATGTCTTGGCTAACAAAGAACAAAAGAGTGAGATGGATCCCATAAGTGACGAAGGAATATTTCTTGGATACTCATCAAGCAGCAGAGCTTATAGAGTCTTTAAATTACAAACTGGAATGATAATGGAATCTATCAGTTTGGTGATTGATGATTAAGTTACATAATAAAGGATGGATGTTGAGGACAATGTTGGAACATCCTCTATGCAGACTAGTGAAGTGGGAAAAGAGGAAAGTTGTAATTTCACTGGCATTGTGCCAAATAACTCTCAAGTTACTACAAGTAATATCACTGAATCTATAAAGGTAATATCAAACTCATGTCTTATCTTCAATCATGAATCAAGGATGAGTCCTATTGTTCAAGAGATGAAGATCTTGAATTGCATAATTGGAACAAGGGATTGTGATATGTATTACTTTTACAGCAT